TTTTTAAGGGCCGATACTAATTGCGGACGGCGTTAATTTACAGCGTAGGTGTCACGCTCCGTGAGATGTATATTCCAATAAATCGTTCTACAATGCGGAGCGAAGTAACGCCACGCCGGCGTCTAGTGCAGTCCGATTTTTTATTCGTCGCGGTATAACCCGTGATATTAATTGTGAACCTTGTTGATTTATATAAGCATGTGTAAGTCCCGCTGCGGGATGAAATACGTTGCAGATAAGTATATGCAAGATTACAGTGCAGGATGAGGACGTAGAGACAAAGACCGCGGAATGGGCAAAGCGTTTACTTTCGTTCTCAATAATGTAGTAATCATATTCCCATTTTGCAGGTGCATCGAAAGGTTAGAAAACGATTAATCACACTTATACGTTTATAATGTATCGTTAAGAACATGTATCTAACATGTATGTTATACGTGGACCATATACAAAAATGAGTTAAGCAACAATTTGGGATAATATAGGTTTAAAATTGTCTAGAGTTTGTCTAGAGACAATCTCTCTAAAATCTTTGAAGTAGAATCTAATTCTAAAAAGTGACAATTGAGTCAGTGTTGAAAAAGAGTTGCTTACTTGTCAATTTTAAAAGTGAGATTTCACTCTTTAGAATTAGATTTTACTGCAAAAAGAGTTTTAGGGATTATCATTTATATATATATATAATCACAATTTTTTTTACATTTTTTGAATTTATTTTATTTACGTGTAATCTATGAATTGTTCACAAAGAATTATTTTGCTGAAGTCTAAAAAGCTTTAGCTGAATACAGATGAAAATAATTTTGTTGGATCATCAAAATAATTATGTACGACGCTTAAACTGATTGTTAAAATATCAAAACTTTTTGCAGCATCACTCATGCTTGAGATTCCTGTGTAATTATTTTAATAATTATTTTAATCGTTCAACAAAATTATTTTTAGGTTTGTATCTATATTAAATTTTTAGATTTTAGCAAAATTATTCTTTCCACATAGACAATAAAATTTAAATTGGAATATGACAGATTTGCGAAATTAGAAAAGACAATTGATTCCAAGATTGTAAAAGAATTTGATTTTGGCATATCACATTTACGCATTGCAGAACATCGTAAATCCATGTTACATTTCACATCCATGTTACTGAAACAACAAAATCGTGTTCACACGAAAGTCTAGAAGTACTAGACGAGAGAAATGCTTTCGCTTTTGTATCGATGCGATATATATCAGCGAATAAGTTCTAAAATCCAACGCGAAACGTTTCGCGCGCGCGTTTAAAGACTCGGACAAATTGCGATCTGACCGCGTGTCCGCCTTCTTATATACTAATATGCGAACACGTTCGCCGTCGTAGTCTCGCGCGGAGAGCTCTCCTCACTACGTGAGTCTTACATGCAACTTACATACACACTTGCACAACTATGTCGAGTTCTGTACAGTTAAGTGTAACTACGTGCTCGTAGTTATACGCTCGTAGGCTACCGCATGCGTCCTAGCTCCGCACGTTACGTATACAAAGTGTCCCTGAGCCGATTGCCTTTCCTTCCAGCATTAAACGCAGTAACATCTAAATGATGGATTTATACGCCTGAGAAATACATTTCAATTTTTCGACACGTTTAATAGATGGAAAAAGATTCGTGTAGATTAAATCTTGAAAAATATTGTGATATCCCTGCGTACGGCAGATAAATACGATAAATAAGATAGGCGATCGAATCCTGTTGATAAGACTGGCTTATCGAAAACTATCTTGTATGTCTTAGTTCTATCAGTGATCCTCAGCCGGGCGATTTCAACCACTGTATTTTCCGCTATTATTACAGCCTGCGGCTTCTTGCCAGGGTATACAGATAGTACGAACGATTTTATACGCTTCTACTTAGCCACTATCGTCTCGGCCACTAAAAATCCTATCCGTTCCGAGCCAGGAATGTGTTAATGCGAGACGAAGATTGAGAAACTCTGGGCTACGCGCAACTAGGGGTCCGCCGGCGGGCCTGATACCGGATTATCCGAGTAGAAAATGTAATGGAACGAGTAAAGTTTACGTTCACGCATCGTTGGTCCCGTCTCGCGTCTGGCGAGGGAGGCACCATAAGAACGCCGTCGACACAGTGCAACACCAACGCGATTAGGTAACTGAAACCATATCGACGTATGCACGCGTGCTACTATGTGGGTGTACCACCGGCGTAACCACGTTGCACGCGCTCGCCACGCGATGTGGCAGGATAATGCACCGATAACACGGTCGACTCGCTCAACAGTTTCGATCCAGATTCCACGAACCAGCCTAGTTTCCAGAAGAATCGTGCGAAACGCGATCGCATTCCTAGTTTTTCCTCTATTCGTAACAGTGTTTTCCAGTCTCGTTCGTAAAAAGATTACTTTTCTATATAGATTTCAGAACGAAATGTTAGCGCTTTTATATGAAGTAATAATTTCCAAATGATCTAATGTGACGAAATATCTAATTTGAATTTTATAAAATTTCTCTGTAAACAATAATAAATTAATATAGATCGCCATAAAGGAATCAAATAAATAAGGAATCAATAAGTGTAAGGAGTCAATGCTGGAGATTTTATGATGTCTAATAATTAATAATGTTTCTCACAAAAAGATCACACTTTTTCGAAATGAGATGCGATATTAGCCTTTGTATGAAGTAATAATCTTCAAATGATCTAATGTGATGAAATATCTAATTTGAATTTTATATAGTTTCTTCGTAAAATTTTTAGATAGTTTTTCGCACGTTATATTACTTCTAATCTCATTCACAGAAAGGTCACTTTTGTACATTTCAGAACAATATTAGCTTTTATATGAAGTAATAATCTCCAAATGAGATTCAATGATCTAATGTGATGAAATGTCTGATTTGAATTTTATAGAGTTTTCTCTGTAAAATCTTTAGATATCTTTTGCGCGTGATGTTTTTTCCAATTTTGATACGTATATTGCGAGTGGCATTAAAGTGGCGTGTTGCGATTATATGACTTTGTACGAGAGACGATCATTAGACATCAAAAGTGGTTTTGAGTGGCGCAGCGCGGCTTTAAAATTATTACGTCGCCTTGCGTGAACGAACACGACAGTTTAACGATCCTCCTAAGGCGCAAACGAAGCAGAAACTTAGTTCCGACGATTGATCGTCGTGATCAACTAGACTGCTGTTGGATAAATTAAGGCATAACAGGTAAACAGCTCGTTAACGATACTCAATGATGAGCATGTTGCGTTATTGTCGGGTCAGCTTGCCGCCAAACTGAGAGTCATTCGACACTCGTGTTTCGCGAATCCGCAAGATCGTGTAATGGCGTCATATTTACGCTCTCTTATCTTAACTTAATCCGGAAGAAAGCTGCCAGGAGACCCGTTCACAATCAATCTTTGTCAAAAGCATCTTAGTAATACAAGGATAAAACGCACGCGACTCTATGCACAAACTACCTGCAGAGAACGATATTTATTGGAAAATGTAGCACGCAAGACGGAAGAATGATTCAATTCGCAAAAAAAAAAAAAACATTATTCTGACGTAGAGTGCAATAAATATAATATTAATTAGATTGTGGGTAATAAGCGGAAAGTGTTTAAGAGCCTTTTACTGTAATAAATTGTAATAAACACGCAAGACGAAGGAATATTATGAATTATCTCTTAAAAATATGTGATCTTGATACAGAGTGTAATAAATATAATATTGTATTAATTAGACTGTGTGTAATAAGTGGAAAATGTTTAGATGCCTTTTATACTGTAATAAGGGTATATCTTTATTTACTTATAATCTATTGATATAGAGATTGACTTACCTCGCGTTTTTATGTAATTATAGTTGATAAAAAGTCGAATTTATTTTTATATTGAAATATTTGGCAATATAATGTTCAGAGTATCGGATTAAGTAAATCTGATAATTGGATAACATCTTTTTATTTTACTTTTCAGAAGCTGAAAAAATTCTGGACAAGTCACGGAAAAAGAGCGGCAATCTTATCAGTAAGTCAAACCACATAACTAGTATTTTTTATCCAATCATCTATGCTCTTATCTAACATCACTTGAATCTTTTCTCTACCTTTTTCTTGTTAATCTTGATCGTTTCGAATCGATTAATTTCTGCTATTTATCTCTTTGAAAGCGTAACATTACACGTATGAACTGTGTTAAGCAAAATATAATTACGTAAATTCTATTATTTTTCTTTATAAGAAATACAAAAGAAATTTATAAAAATACTGTAATAATAAATTATAACAATAAAATCTAATTACGTTATTATAATAATTAATGTAATTTTACGAAAAGAAGAAAAATGATTTTATCTAAAATTTTACGTCTTAAAAATAATTAGAAAAATTGAGATATTTTTACTTTGTTTCGATTATTCATAATTATTCAATATTATTCAAAATTACTAATTTCTCTTAATTTATAAAAAAGTATATAAAAAAAGTTAGGTTATAATTACATTAAAACTTAACAGAATATTTGCTTCGAAATATAAAAAATAATAATGTTCATTATTGCCGACGATAAAAATTAGAACACAATACGCCCATTTTATTATTTATAGATACTTATTTAACGTTATTAATTGCGTCGATGTATTATTCGAAAGTATATATGTGTTCCTGTAGAAAAAAGAATACATTTCAGAAATAATAGATTAAAATTATTATAGTATTATGGAAAGTGACATTACTTCCGGAATTAATGGATCGTGAAGAATTTCCGATCGAATGTTTTTCCCCTTTTTAAACGCGATCACACAGAGCGCGGGCGGTTTATAAAGTCATTATCGGAAAAGATATATGTGCAATCATAGATTCTTATTCGTCGTCGATGAATGCAGTAGATCGTGACGCAATGTGAAAGGATAAAGGATACATTGCATACATCAACATTTATCATTTTCAAAAGTTTCTTCTATCTCGCATATTTTACATCGTTAAATGACTAAGCTTGAAAAAAAATCCTCGCCAAAATTGATCTTCTTTATTTGTATTATATATCGTCATAAATGATTTAACATTGAATGATAAATTCTTACAGTATCGTATATTCGAGAATATATTTAAAAATAGAAACCGATCATCTCCGCTTCGATCAATTTATAACGTCATTCGTGTGATCATCATAACCTTCGTCCATGGCCTTCTTTTAAGCTCGACAAGATTACTATAAGTTGTGATCTACCGATAACGCATGAGGCATCCTTGTCCATCGCATATTTATTGAGCTAAAGAAGAAGAAATTGCAAAGCAAAAACTTATTATTTATCGGATAACAAGATAATTCTTGTCCACATTCATGCATAAATTTATAATAAATTCCTAATGAATTATTTAAAACTCACAGCCAAGACTTTGAATACATCCAGATTATAGATATATTATTTTTTTTTGAAAGATTCAACTCTAAAAATTTAAACATTTTTTTGTACATACACAAAGCGTCGTTTGCATCTTTTTATCGAGTAGATTGCATTCGGATTATTTGATTCACCGGGTTTCCAGGACTCTTCTTGCGCGCTAAGAAGTCACGGGCGTGGACTACGAGCGTTGAAAATCGCGGCTGACCCGTGTGCCAGATATTTTTTTCCTCGCGACGCGCGCTTCTCCGGGGCCAGCCGGTTGGCCGACTGTTCCCGTCGACTGTACCGGCGGCCATGCATCGCCGATGAGAATATGACCCCGGCACGTATAGCTCGGGCCTCGAAGTAAACTACATAGGCGTTGCGCGCGTCTCTCTCGACTTCGCCAGGCGAGTCGGTGGTCGTGCGAGTCGGTGTCGTCGGCACAGTGCTTCGTGTGGCGTAGGTGATGGCGGTGCCTTGCCTTGGTGATGGTGGGAGTACCGCAAGGGTCAATCCACGGTCCACCATTATATTCCCTCGGCGAAGTCGTGGTATACGGGGGCCTCGGAGCGGGTTCACAACCAAGACGACGACGACGACGACGACGACGACATTCGGACGCTTAATAGTCGGAATTTGTCTGGGTGGCAGGTACACTGACAGCTAGTTGACAGAGTTAGTGACTTGAGTTGGCTCGGTTAAAGACTGAGATAACTAGGATAGGAAAGGATATGAGGATCACATGCGAGGCAATGTCACTGTGAAATCAGAAATATAGATCAGTTTCGCAAAAAACGATTCTTTCGCGTTACCCAAAAATATAAGTTAAAATCCATAGGTTGTAAAAACGATTACAGCTACATGGAAAGAACGATTTTGTTGAAATATTAAAAAAATGTAATTAAATACAGATCTGAATGTAATTTGGTTAACTATCAAAATATTTATATAGAAAACTCAAGCATGAGCAATTTTATACAAAATTTTAATATTCTAACAGCCAGTTCGAGAGTCTACATAATTATTTTATTAATAGTTCAAAACATTATTTTCTGATTTGTATTTAGCTAAATTTTTAGATACTCGAGCAAAATCATTGTTTCTGTATATAGGTTGTTATATGTAATATAAAACTATGCATTTAATATTTAAATTAATTAAAATTTATTGAGTGAATTCAATAAGTTAGTTTCAATTTAATAAGTAAGTTTGTATGATAATGTCATTCATATGAATTGTTGCACTTAATTTCTAAGTATAGTAGGTGTTCATGTTCAGGCATTTTTTCATTAAAAATTTTTTTCCTCCGAGATTTACGCCGACGTATTGTTAAAACTTATCATAACCGTAATTTTAAGCGTTTCATGTTAGAAGAAGCAGCTAATCGTTAAGAAAGCGGTTAATCTATATCCATCATCTACACAGTTAAGATTCTTTAATCATCTAATTAGCGGGATTGTTAACGACCGAACGATCGGTAATTCGTGCATATGTGGTAGTGACTATATATGTGTACGAGTACCAAACGGTCCACCGTCCTTTAAATACAACTTTGACCTTTAAGAGGGGTGGAATGTATCGTTTGCAAAAAAATCGCCACGAAGAAATGACTCTATCGTAATTAAACCATTGACGTTGGAGATACCGTAAGGGTCAATCCACGGTCGAACATCATATTCTTCGGCTAGAAGCATGGCTTTAGGAGCGGGTTCGTATAACTGCAACACACAACGTTCGACGCTTAATGGTCGGAATTTGTCTGAATGGCAGGTAACACTGACAGGCACTCGGTTTAAACTCGGTGAGTGGAGAATATACCGGTTACAGAAACCCGCGGTATCCAGAAAGTTCTCCGGTAATTCAAGGCTCGCCCGGGTCGCCGATTAACGTATCGATCATTAGACGATGCCGATCGAGGCGACTTTTTCCCGCGACCCAGCTAGCAGCGATCACTTTAAAGTTCAAATTGAAGCCTACATAACGAGACAGAGGCTTACCTTCTCTTCTCGTTTCTTTCTTGTTTATGTCTGTTTATAGCAGAATATAGGGCGGAAACAATCAATAATGCAAAAGTTTTAACGATGTTTTTCACGTTTATCAAACAGACAGATATATTCTTCATAGAAAAAATTTAAGTATTTGTATTTAAAAATGAAGTGATTTTCTTCTATCAAAATTTAATTGTGAATTGGTTTTTAGTCTTTAACTTGTTCAGATCTGATTTCAATAAAACCATTAAAAAAAATTTTATAATTTTTACGAGCACTTTAATTTACTAAAAAATTCATTTTTTTCAAAATTTTGACTATTTTTCCAACATTGTTATGTACATCTGCAGGTCTTAGATGATGTCGATAGAATTAAATAACTTCAACAGATAATGTCTTCAAATTTTTTTATACATTACAATGACATCGAGTCTGAAGAGGTTAAAAGATATAGAGTATAAAATTTCATTACTTCACTTTAAAATTTTGGTATTAACTCTCCGTCTGTAATCTGGGTTTTTTTGGCATAAATAAAATTTTACTCTTAAATTTCTCTTCCCCAGTTCAATTTTTTCAATTTTTATTAAATAACATTTTAACATTTAAGTTAAAAAATTGAGGACAGGAAAATTCTCTTTCAGCTAAATAACTTTTTAATTAAGATTACACATTTATATTTTTATATTGGTCAGTAATGCAAACAGTTTTATGACTTATGCAAATAACTTATGCAAATGACGATGTGTTAAATAACAGTGTCTTAAGTCATAGACATAATCGTACAAACAACGCCAGGATTATCGAAATTAAAGATCAAAAATCCGAACAAGCAGATACACGAGTTATAAGTTAAGAAAGTAAGTAAGAAGTTAGAAAAATCATTAAGGGAAACTAAACGAGACGTGTGCTTGGAATGGCCAAGTGACTTACAATCCTTTTAGACCTTGTCATTTTTAGTTTCACTGATCATTAATTGGCTGTTGCCAATTGTCGAACGATGTTAACTGACTGGTTCGACCGTTTTCCCTGACGAGAGAATGGCACGAATCGACAAATCGATTTGTGCCACGAAACCTATTACGTTTAATAGAACATGGGAACAAATTGCGCTTTCGCCGCTTTCAAAATAATATTGTCTTAAACGTCGAATCATCATTTTGAAAAATTCATTATTTCTAATATTGAAAATTCGGTTTTTTAAAATATTATAACATTGAATTTAAATAATCTGAGAGAATTATTTTATTTTATTTTTTTAAGAGCATTATACTCATTTTTTTATATTTATTATACAATTCAATTAATATCTTTGATTTTTTTATTTAATTGATCCAATCTAGAAGATATAGAGACTCAAGATTAAACATATACCTATTGTTTAATTTAACAGACTAATCGATTTCATTTTCATTGAAGAAATTGCCATCTATTTTTCTATCAGTCAAATCAAGTTATACAAGTATAAGTATTGTGCCGTAAATAGACCGATTAGATCACAGCGGAAACGTCAAATACAAGGATCCCATGACAAATTTCATTCGCGGCATCGAATCAGTCGGCGATTCTTCCGCCTGTCTGCAATCAGGAAAAGACGAGTTCCCGGACGAGCTACGTCTGTTGACCGATCGGCATAATCGGCATGCCTTTTTCGGCGAACTGTGAATGTAGCCTGAGGTCTGGCATTCCCCTTTCCTCGTCGTCGCTGGCCGGTTCGTCCGGGGTCACCGACGAGAGGTCACGTCGCTCGCGCATGGCATCAGTGACTTTTTCATTTTTACCTCGTATCCGCTTCTCTTCTTCCTTCTCCGGTCTCTCTTCTTCTCGATAACCACAGGCACGTGCGCGAGAAGGCTGTCATCTCGTTTGAAAAAAAAAAAGATCTTGTACCTCTGCGATGACTTTTAAAAATTTTTTCGAATCCCATATACGTTTTTTATCATCCAATTTCCGAGTAAAAAGGTTTAGAGAACGTTATTTATGAGATAAAAAGAAATCATAAAAAGATTACGACATTGGAAAGTTTAATTTAATTTTTCGGATCTCTTTTAAGTTTTTTTATCGATTTTTATGTCATCGAGTTGAGCAATTCCTCGGCGAATCTTTTTATAATCTTAAATCCCGAGTAAGTTATTTATATTGTTGTCTGATGTATTAATTTCTCTTGATTAGAGAGAAGATAAATAATTCAAAGACAAACTATGCGGAAATACGAAGGCGTAATGAAAAAGCCGCAGTCCTCGTGGACAGAGATACGTTCAAGTAAAATTGTCGAGATTCCATGTGTATCTTTGGAAAGATAAATTTATTTCGTGACCGGTAGGTCCCGCTGCATCTTATTCATCGCGCGAATGCACGTGAATCACGTGGATCTATGTGATGCGAATGCGTCGTTTAACAAATAGAATGCGCACCGTCTCCACCATTCGAGAATGGTGTGCCAAAAATGTAAAAGTGTATTTCTTTTATTTGCAAAGCATTCTACCTATAACATATGATAATTTCGTGATTTTGTTACTTCTTCCAGTACTTTCAATAATTAAATTGATTGAGCAAAGAAGTTAGAAATATTATATGAAAAGAACGATTAAAGTATCTAAAAATTTAATTAGATACTGATTTGAAAATAATTTTGTTGGATCAAAATAATTACGTAGGAGTCTCAAGCATGATGAGTAGTGTTGCAAAAAGTTTTGATGTTCTATCACTGAGAAAAATTTCTGGTTAGAAATGAATGAACTAGATTCTAATAGAACTAGATTCTGATCAATTAGAATTCTGGTTACATCAATTAGAATTAATAGATTCAACTAGAAATTTTTTTTATATTCAGAATTTTCAACCAGAATTAATGTAACCGGACTCTTTTTTCAGTAGCAACTAGTTTGAGCATTTTACATAATTGTATATAAATTTTCAGAATCTTAATGATCGAAGAGATATACTTCTGTATAGACAGCTAAACTAGATGTATTAAGGTAGGATATAATTTTACTAATTTTGTTTGCTGAAGATTGTTAAAACCGATAGCCAAAACGTTCAAATTTTATGTACCATTTGTACTTTTGTACCATCTATTAAATGATATCTAAGAAATTTTTTTTTGCGCACTTCTTACCGCGCTGATTCCAAATTAGTCCTTTCAATTTATTATTTTTTACATACAAATATAAACAGTCCAATTACTTATTTCTTATTACTCTTTTACACAATTATTTTGATTCAACAAAATTACTTTCAGATCTGTATCTAGTTAAATTTTTAGATATTTCAGCAAAACCGTTCTTTCCATGTACTTTACGAATTTCATTATATAGACGCGACGGAAATCACGATCGATCGATTCACATGGCAATCTCTTTTCGCAAGTAACGTTCCCCACGCTCGCCAGTGATCAAAGGTGCACCCGTATAATATCGAGGAAAATACTGCTCACGACGATGAACCGCGGCTTTGCGGTGCACAGGGGAATGACGGACATACGACAGGTTACCGCGTACACAGCATCACCGCATACACGTGCATCACTGACGCGAAAGGATAAATACCTTCGATTAGCGATTTATTTGAATTCTCGATGCACATACACCTCTCGTCCGAGTCTTCGGATATATGCCGATTGCTCGCGTCTCCTCGGAGTCTCCCCATCCTCTCTTCATCTCTTCTTCACAGCATCCGCCGCCCACCTTATCTCCCATCATGTTCCCCCCCCTCTCTCTCTCTCTCTATCTTTTTCACTCCTTCACTTTCTTTTTCCTTATTTCTCTCCTTCTTACTCTCTTTCTCCGTCCCGTCTCTCCTTATTCCGAGGAGTTACCGTCCTCGGTGATCGTTCGCGAGACGGTGCGGATCCTCGGCAGGAGCGCGCGGTATGCCAGACGCTGCAGGCTCGATTGCCTACGACGTGGATTGTCAAAACCTCGGGGAGGCACCCGGTGAGGTACCGTTAACCAGGCGTTCGCCTATCGAATATTCAACCTACGACCTGCGTCGCGCCGCGCCGGTCGGTCGGCGTGAACGCGGAAATGTACGTGCTGCATCGAGCGGAGCCCCGGGTGACCTTACGCGGAGTAGTACGTTTGTCCTTAGGTCGGGACAACTTCCAGGACGCTCGTCCGTTAGAGACGCGCGCGCGCGCGCGCACACTTTCGAACGGACCGCGACGAGCTGCTTTTTTATTATCGTTTGATACGCGCCATTGGTCGATGACCCATCTTTCTCGTCGTAACTAGCTTCTGTCTCTGTCTCTCCTTTTCTCTCTTACCGAGACTGATGGACGAAGGATAATCATGGTAATTTTTGCGTGACGCGTAATAAGGTAGGATTAATCAGATAATCGTGACATAGGATAGGAACGCGTATCTAATATTTTCTGATAATTAATTGTTGTAACTTAATGACTCTGGGATAATTAATATAGACACATTTTTTGTTTTCAATTTTTGTTTGTTAAACTAAATTTACATTTTGGTTATATTGATTTTTATTTTTTATTTTATAACAATTATCAGGTTGAAAATAGTGAATGTTATGTTATTAAAATTTAATTAACGTTTTTAAAATTTATTTAACGTTTTTTAAATTGATGGTGTGTGTGTGTGTGTATTATACTTCATATATATTACTTTAGTAGATGTAGACATAATAAAATGAAAACACTAGATTGGAAAGATATATCATCGAGTATGACACGGTTGTTAACGTACGAGACATGTTCTTTGAAGGTTCTTTACGAGCGATTGCTTTTCTACGCTGGGTTTACGTAACTCAAACGAAACGGATACGGTAAAAGGGACGAACGCGAACGATAAGAAATCTCCATCGCTTTCCTTGATTATCGATGAAGTGAATCACGAAGCGTATCACGATTTAATGAAAACGGAACAAACGTTTCCTAGAAATAATATTGCCGCCACGCTTGAATGATGATTTGATGGACCTCGTGATGGACCTATTTAGGTACGATGAACTTGACCTGATATTCGGAATGTCTCAAACTTTCGAACCTCGATTTCGTGAAATAAAAGTTTAAAACGTAGAAAATTCATTCTTAAAATCAACGAAAAACGATATTTTTTTATTCATTCTATAGTTTATTTGTTTATTCTTCTTATTATCTTTTTCCAGTTTCGTAACAGCAAGAATGAATTAAATATACATTCAATATGACACTAAAAAAAAAATATTAAATTAAGAATATTTAATTTTAGATTATTACGCAGCGATTATAAATTTTCCATTGATCTGCCAGATATCTATTGAAAAAATACTCAAGTCTGTGCTATAAAGAAATGCATCGAGAAAAGCAGCCATGTCTCTCTATATTCTTTGAAGTGGAATTTCACTCTAAAGAGTGAAAATTGAGCCAATCTTGAAAAAGAGAGTGAGAATTCACTCTGCAGGAGTGAATTCTCATAAAATAATTCTTTAAAAATTCATTCTAAAAGTTTGAGAGAGTATGCATACATTTTTTATTCCTTTTGGAAAGATTATTGTTTTAAACATGCAGTCGGGTACAGCTTGAATCGTGTAGGCACGCTTATTCATTGACATTTAACTTTCGAAATTGAACAGAGCGACGGCGAACGGCGCGTGATGCGGCCTCGTACTATGGCAAAATATCATTGGGCAGGTAGAGCTAACATTTAAATGCCAGGATTGCTCCGCAAAACGCGCGACTAAGCCAAGATGCACTTGCGGACATGTTTTTCGTGATGCATTCAGTCAGAAGATCGTTGAATTGCTCAAATGAGCGTATAGCGTTTTCTTTGTAAATACAGTTATTTGAAAACGACACTTTGTTTATTCCTTATTACATTATATATTATTTTTATAATTAATTATATAAATTTATTTATGAAGAGAGAATAATTAAAAAATTATTATAAAAGAGAAATCAGAAAGCATGCAAGGATTGCATTAAGTCTAGATTATAATTGTTTGGAAAAAGTATACCCTTCTAATATTTATTTCGTAAAAAAATTTATGACAAACAGTCCTCATTTAGATGTTCAAATTCTACATAAATATTTTAAGTACAGTATTTTATGTAAGTATAGTATTATTATTATCTTTCGTTCATAATTTATTTGAGTAAGTCGCTTCCGCGTCAAGATTCACGCGTTTTAAGTGTCTCGTCAGTTTTCTTCCTAGTATTACAAACGACTATTATTGCTTTTGCGGCTACTGTATTCCACAGTGGTACGGTGTGGTTACGAGCGGGCATATCAAGATACGCATCACGATATTTATGACGAGTCTACATGTAAACCGTTCAGCAATTTATGTCGAGATAAATATTGCAAGTCGCTCTCCGACCTTCTCCTCGACATTTCTGTGTGAAATTACTTCTACCATGTTAACACACGCCTTGTAAGAATTTATCGCTGAGGAACGTGTGAGAAGTGTCACGCGATGCATTTTTGATCTAAACGTGGTTCCAGCATCTTAATAACAAGTTACATACAGCTTGAAGAAAAAAAAATCATAAGTTTGTAAGTGTATGTTTTATTTATTTTATCAAAGTACATCATTATACTCGAATGAGTTTAAAACTGTAACATATATTGAGAAAAAAAGGAAAATTGAAAGAAAAAATGACACAATTATAGTTATTAATTAATTAAAAAAATTACTCATATATGCATAATTTTAATCAGATGAACTGGAACTTAATTTATGTAAAAAAACAATTTGAAGAATTATTGGTGGACAAGTATGATGCAAAATAAATATCAAAATAAATAATTGATATATATTGATGAATACGAATTGTATAATCGGCCGATTAGTAAAATGTCTAATGTTGCGGAGTTCCTAGTTAAGGTTAGAGGAAGATGAAAGCTCTACGGCGGGATCCCAAGACCTTAATCCGTCGATACGTAATGGGATATAATGCGAAATTAGCCGTTCACTATGTACAGTTACGCATTACGCTAACAAGACGTACTTCCGATTATAGTGAGGGGTACCTATTGTTCAACCGAGCCAGTAGTGTACCTCTTAGTAGTCCCAGACTCCGGCTATTCCTATACGGTATCCATTTATCTATCTATTCAGCCGCTCCGTATAACACACGATAGATTCCACATAATCTCGTCGACACAATGGCTTGGAGGGCTGAGATATACTGCGAACATAACACCGCGATCTTTTCTGATCACCTTACGCGCTTGCGACGCTTCCGACTGTAATTTGATAAACGTAAACTAGCTTTTTTCAAGACGGAATCATTTTTACTTCCGGACGTATACTTTTAAAAAATGTGAGTGTGGATTTACCATACGATGTTTATATAATTCTCGCCATGTTGATGTTGATCGATATATCATGGATTTTAAATTTGCATCGTGATGATAAAATCGTTTGGTAAACACTAAAGGTTTTTAAATCCATATCATGTTAATATTAACACGGTGAAAATTATGTAAGCATAAAAATTATATAATCACGGTGAAAATTACATAAACATCAAAATTAAACACATGATGTTAAATTCGCCCTCATATTTTTAAAATGTACAAACAGAAGTCTTTTATCAGGACACTTAATTACAAGAATCTGCGATACTAATATAATCTAATTCTTGGAGCTTGAAGCCGTAACGCTTAACGCTATGCTGGAATAACTATCTCATGCCATTGTATTTCTGACGTAGCTGCGAGATAAAAGTATCTGCGTGAATTATCTAGCAGACGCCGTTTCCGTCTGCGGATGCATTCGCATTTAACGCAGTTAAAATTCGGTTTAGCGCAATTAGCGAGGTTAAACGGTCGATACACAATCTCAAGTGCAATTTGCACCGGAAGACTTGTGAATTAAACTTTGCGGCAAGAAATAGTAGAAGCGGCTCGTCCGAAGAAGAAAGAGAATGCTGAAAAGAGAAGATGCATGAAGAGCATAGACTTTCTTATCTAGACAATCCATATTATGTGGAATGAATTTGATTTTGATTCGCAGATTGAAAAGATTATTCTCACGCTTCTCTCTGTAATATTGTATTGACAATAATATTAATTTTACCCAGAAAATTAATATTTAATTAATATTTAAAAGTGTTAAATGTCACTGAAACTTTTTACAAATACAAAGCGCGCTTATTTTTCAACATATTCTAATTAATTTTAAGATCAACAGCATTAACAGGCAGTGGTAAATTTTTTTAAGTAAAGTTGCAATCCTCAAAAGGCGAGTAAAAGCTAGCAGGTGCTTGACGAATTAGGATGATTTAAAAGCCTGCGGTGTAAAGTAAATCAAAAGTATATTCGCTATGAGACTGTACTTATTACCTGTAAATACAGCCTAGTCCGCCGCTCTGGCGCCTGTCATACGTGCGGCTAATGCATGTTCGTTCGCGGGAGAAAACCCGGGTTCCATCACTGACACCGTAGCACCAGGATATATATGTGTGGGTCAGAGTGAGCTGATGGAGAGGACTCTCTAGGAAAAGGCCTGTTTGTCTGGAGAGTTACTACAGATGCTAACGGTAGCTTCGACGAGGTTTAGTATGCGCGATCTGTTGCCTCGACAGGAAACAGAATCCCTCCTATTACCGAGAGGAGTTGCAGCGGTGAACCGTACGTGAACGCAAACGACAGCTACCGGCATTGTTACGCGATGGGCCTCTCTCTTATCGTCTCAGAATGCCCTTTGCTGGCGTTGTGACTGTCAGGGAGAAAAGGTGGTACCCTTCGGCACCTTAAAAGGTCACCGTGACGACGAACGTTTCAGTGGCGTCGATGCAGCTCGACGTACGTGCCTTCCTCCCCTTTCACCTTTTCTGTCTCGCCTTCGCATCGCCTTTATAAACCTTTCCACATACTTGATATACGGTTACTCGTCCGTGATCACGACAGGCATTTTCGGCAGTATTTCTTTGATCCTAGAGTTTACACGTGTTTAATCTTATCTTGTATATCTACGTATATACTAATGTTCGAAATTTGAATAGAATTTTGATTGAAAAATTCAAATAAATATACATATACT